CTTCTAAGGGATTCTTGGCCAGCGGAGCAGATATGATAATCATCTGAATTGAATTTGCCCATTCTTGTCCATTTTAGTTCACTGATGCCCAGGATGTCAATGTTGATTCTTGCCATTTCCTGTTTAACCAATAGCAAATGCCCAAACAAAACTGTAGAATCATAGAATAACAGAGTTGGAAGTGGCTTATAAAGTCACTGAGTCCAAATCACTGCTGAATGCAGGCATTCAAATTAAAGTATATATGACAGATGCCTAACTTTCTCTTGAATGCCTCCAGCTTTGGAGCTGCTCACCACCTCTCAAGGTAATTATTGCCACTGTCATATTGTTCTAACAGTTAGGAGGTTTTTCCTGATATTCAACCAAAATCTGGCTTTGTGTAACTTGAGACCATAATCATGTTTCCTGCACTATGAGATGATACAGACCAGTTCCTGCCTTCCTCTGTATGACAACCTATTTGAACACTACCATCAGGGAATATATTAAAATATAATACATTATATTTATATATTATATATGTACCATATAACACATTATACTATATATTTAAAGATGTTTGAGATAATTAACTAAAAAAGCAAAAAGTAAAGTGTGCTGCTTATATACCGCCCCATAGCACTTAAAGCACTCCCTGAGGGATATACAAGTTAATTGTGCAGGCTACACATTGTGTGTGGTCCCCCCCGGCTACATACCCCCCTGCCCCCGCAAGCTGGGTACTCATTTTACCAACCTTGGAAGGATAAAAGCCTAAGTCAACCTTGAGCCAGCTACCTGGGATTGAACCCTGGGTCATGAGAACAGTTTTGACTGCTGTGCAGCAGTTTAACCACTGTGCCAGGAGGATCCTAACTACTATCTTTAAACTGATTTACTGACTAAACAATGCTCAGTTCAATTTACAGTGGTGCTTCGCATAACGAGCGCCGCGTTTAACGAAGAATCCGCATAGCGATGCGGATTTTGCGATCAGTAATGCGATCGCATACCGATGTTCCCATACTGTTAGATCAGTATGATAATGGAACCAATTACAGGCATACTTTGGTTTACAAATTTAATGAGTTCTCTGGAACATTACATAATGCGAAAAATTCGTACAGTGGTGCCTCGCAAGACGAGCGCCCCGTTTAACGACGAAATCGCATCACAACAAACTTTTTGCGATCGCAAAAGCAATCGCTTTACGATGTTTTAAATGGGGTTTTTTCGCTTTGTGATGATCGGTTCCCTGCTTTGGGAACTGATTCTCGCAAAACAACGATTGTCGGCCAGCTGATCGGCGGTTTCAAAATGGCCGCCGGGTAAAAAAATGGCTCCCCACTCTTTTCTGGGACAGATTCCTCGCTGCACGGGCAGCAAAAATGGCCGCGCTATGGAGGATCTTCACTGGACGGTGAGTTTCAAGCCCATAGGAACGCATTAATCGGGTTTTAATGTGTTTCTATGGGCTTTTTTATTTCACATTATGACGTTTTCGTTCTATAGCAATTTCGCTGGAACAAATTAACGTCGTAATGCGAGGCACCACTGTAAACCGAAACACAGTTTGCCACAGGAATGGGGGCGGCACTATAAACCTCTAGGCACAATGCATCCTGGGGAAACTTGCTGCGTACTGCGGGAAAAATAATTCTAAACCAAGGCATTATTTTCAATGGATTTCCCTTCGTAAACCAAAAATTATGTTAACCGAGGCATTCTTAAACCAAGGTACTACTGTATCTTGGGAGGCAATGAGTGCTCCAACATTATAGGCATTCTTAAACCAAGGTAGTACTGTATCTTGGGAGGCAATGAGTGCTCCAACATTAGAGAATCACACTGTGAGCTGCATAAATGAAGGGAGGTGACTGCACAGAGCTAGCTCAGATTCTGGCTTTTTAGGTTTAGGGCTGAAATTGATGTTTTTTAAAGAATAAAAAGCCAGCAGGCCACAAAAAAAGAGAAAAGTGTGCTCCTTAGATATTGCCTCATAATGCTTAAAGCACTCTGGACAATTTACAAGTTAATTATGCAGGCTACACATTGCCCCCATCCTGAAAACTGGGCACTCATTTTACAAACCTCGGAGGATGGAAGGCTGAGTGAACCTTGAGCTGGCTACCTGGGACTGAATCCCAGTCATGAACAAATTTTGGCTGCAGTACAGCAGTTTAACCACTGTGCCAAGAAAAATTTGGCTTTCTTTACTGCATGTGAAGTACATTCACATGCTGAAAAGGTCTGAAATAGCATGGTAAGGAGTCTAGTAAAAAAAAAAAAGTATAAATTTAGGAGGTCTGTTTTGATTAATACCAGTAAGACACCTTAAGCAAAAATGTTTATTTGCCCACCTGAATCAAGGCTAAATTACAGGTAGCCATTTTCCATTGTTGTTGTGTATCATCCATTCTCCCAGTATTAGCCTGGAAAACAAAATAGGAAAAATTTAAATCTTACATACTGAGAGTAAGAACTAGATAACACCTGCCACAATAGTGTTGCACCTGAATTTTGCCAGCAATGTGGCAGATGCAGGTCCTTGTTCTTAGACATTCCTGTTTTCAGCCTTTTCTTAGTAATCAATGCTTCCCACACGTGGCCCTCCTGGGTATGGGTCTTTTTTTTTTCCATTCAGGATATAGAGAAATAGAGGTGCTGGTTTTTCAAGGGCTGTGACCAAAACAGCATCTGTGCAGGTATATTCCAATCTACAGATATAACTGCAGTCTATACAGTACGAATTATTCACTCTTGCTGATGGCAGATACATTTCAAAAAGTAATCTAATCTGTGGCAGCAAATCAAAGTTTATGATAAAAGGAAATGCACTACTTAGAATAAAACATGAATAGTTGTAGCCAGACATATAAAATATTACACTATTTTTGATAAATAGGGGTGGTGGGGGGGAAGAGAGGTAAACAACTGAAAATTTGGGAGATAAGATCATAAACATAGCCAAAGATATCTTATTTCTGTTTGCCATAATGTAAAGCAGGATCCCTTTTGGGAAGTTCACCAGCTAAACATGATTAATCAAGGGTACATATGATTCTAATATTTTACTTCTCTCTCTCTTGTACCTGGTCATAAAACTTTCATTCCAGATTAAGAGGAAGGGCAGTTCTAAGAACAACCTTCTTTTAAGTCTCAATACAGCAAGAAAAGAATTCTTGTCCATGTGCCCAAGACTAACCACTGTACTGCTTGTCATTATCTACATCATATTCTTGCTGCTTCATAAAAAGCAAATGCAATATATTTTCATTGATGAACTATTGATGAGATTCTTGATTAAACCTCAGAAAGTTCCTTGCCAAACAACAGTTTAAATTACATCTCTGCATATTAAAAACACAAATCCAAGAATGATACTCACAGCGGTAGAAAGTCTTGATGCCAAGGTCATTTCCAGGTTGCCCTTCAAGCCAACCAGGGCTGGAATGAGGATAAATATTTCTGTGATTGTCTTAAACACCATCCAGTGCTATGGAAAAGGAAAAGGAAAAGGAAAAGGAGGGAATGTGAATCCACTGCCATACCAAGCACAGGCTACATGCACATGCGTAAGCTGGAGGACCTGGGATGAAGCTTCTTCCACAACTTTAAACAGCACATGCTCACTTTCTAACCTGGCAGGTCAACAATGTCTCTAAGAGATTGTGCATCAACAAAACTGTTGGAACTGCCTGCTAAAATCAAAATTATCCAAAAATTGGAAAAAAATGTACAGTATTGACTTTTTTAAAAAGATACATAACAAAAAAAATTAAAACAACCTGCCAATTACTGGGTCAACAGTATATTGTTATAGGGATATGCAAGTTTATTAGTTACACATGAAATTTTTTCTCACAGAATAATGTTGTGTTTCTACTGTGAGAACCTTTTGAATAGAGCCAATAACATCTCAAGCCTTGCCTCCCATGTTTCCACACATCTTTTGAAAACATATAACAAAATAAACAGTAATTAACCCATTCCATCAATGGCTGAAATGGCATTGCTTAGCAAACAAATCACAACTAGAGCAGACCCAATGAACCAATAAAATGTATGTAGACATTGACTTACCAAATCCTTAATAATCCAACGGGCCTACTCTAGTTGTGACCTACTATACTTCATCTACTTTATAGGCATCCTTCAGTCTAGAGAGACTTTGGTAACATGCTCTGAATGGAGGACTTGGAACAATGTCTAGTGTTTTGATGCTGTATGCAAAGCTGGAGTGTCCTCTCCAGGGCACAAAGCCTGAGTAAAATAATATGGAGGATAGGCTATTACCCAACCAGCAAATCCCCCCCCCCTCTACTATACTAAGTACAGTGGACCCTCGACTTACAGATGGCTCGACTTACAGACTTTTCGAGTTACAGACTTCTCTGGCTGCAAAATTTAGGTTTGACTTGCAGCCAGAGAATTGACCTACAGACCAGAAAAAAATACCAAAATGGAACAAAAATGGAACAAAAACGGAACAAAAACTGGCGGTTAGGGATTAATCGGTTTTCAGTGTGTTGAAGGTCAATGGAGCCTCGACCTACAGACTTTTCGACCTGCATCCACCATTCCAATATGGATTAATTCCGTAAGTCGAGGGTTCACTGTAACAGGATTTTAGCCATTATGTAGCTTCAAGGATTAACTTTAACATCTCCTAAACTAAATAAATGAATAAGACATTTTATTACAGTGACTCTGGAGATCCTTTGCCAATCAGAACATTAGACCTTCGGTCTATTTATTTATAAAATGCTTATTTAGATGAAAACGTGTTCTGATCTTTCCTGAAATTAAACAAGAAGTATAGTGTGATTTCTTAGAATTCAATTTAGGAAACAGCAAAGGAACAATGTGTATATGTGTATGTGATATGTTACATATAGTTTTAATACGAAACAATTTTTAAAATATTAAATACTTTGCCCCTTAGATTCTGGCAAACCTGACTTTTTCATACTAGACATGGTAAGTAGGTTCACTGTGAGTTAGGATCGAAATTAAAGAAGGGGTAGCCTGCAGGACATTCAGAAGCATCTTAATTGTGAAGGCTCTTCACCCACACCCTCCCACAACAATTTGACCCAAGACAACAGGAAAAAAAAGAGCTCTTGGGCTCCAGCCATTTTGCCCATCTAAAGCTATCCAGCTAGGATGAGAGGAAATACCACACGTCCATCAAATAATAACAGCAGATACACTTTCTAAACAGAAATAGCAAAGATTTGATCCTAAAATTGATGTTTAAAATGAGCAAGACAAAACCCAGAATGGGTGAGTTACCTGGTCAAAGCTATACTTGGAACCAGGATGATCTCACCCATTTTAAAGCAAACAGTAGGGCCCTCCTTGGTGTCAATTTAATTGTGAGGAAATCTGAACTGATCATGGAGAGTTAAAGTATGTCTAAGAGAAGCTATTCCCTACAGATTCCTATAAATTATATTTAGGTTTTAACCATTCTCATCTCCATAAAGAATCCTGTGCCTTTATTTTGGGAGTGTGTTAAAGGAGAGGCAGTATTACTGGTGGGGCAGTGTGAGAAAGAGATCAGGACTAACAGAAAAGTCAAGCAATCCAACATGTGAATTCTAACGTTTACCCCGTACCGAGTTCTTCTTATGTATAGCTGTTCCAGTGGACTTGGGGCGGGGGGAGGGAGGTTCTGTCAGATTTCTTTTTGACTGTATTCAGTTCAAACTTATGGATGACCACACAAGTGTCAAACCTCCCAATAATGAATGCAAATATTCTACTTTTACAATAGCACTATCAACTGCCAAGGGCAACTCAGTGACCTCTGTATTCATTTCAGTCTGGAGCCAAAGATTTCTTATTCATCTGTGTCTGCACTTTTTAATTTCGCTTTCCTCAGGACACTGATTAGTTCACAAAGTGGTGATACACATGGGCTGTGCTTTGGTAGAAGGGACAATGTACACACAGTGAGTACTGCTGAATCTTGCTTACACTGCTTTTCATTCAATTATGACAAGGTTGAGATTTGCTGGTATGCTTGTACTCAATGCAGTTAGCACATACATTTTGTGATACACTCATTCTGCAGTTATGCAAGAGATAATTATTCTACAATAAAAAACATGAAGTGCGAAAGTATGACATTGTCTTTGTTGCATAACTTCACAACCAAAGGTGAAGAAGAACATAGCCCCCAAAAGTGGCGGGGTCATTACTGCCAATAATAAATACTGTATGCCTTTTTTCCATTCCTTATATGTAATGTATGAACCGGCTGCTCTACACCAATTTTATTGCTCTTCATCAACTGATCATCTGAGTAGGCAACATGAATATTCTTAGTTGATTAAAAGTTTCTATAGGATTACGCTTAGTGTGATTCAGAAACAAGCCCCATTTGGTGCCTTTCTTAACAGGATCAGAAAACAAGTGAGGAAAAAATTGTGCATCTCAAAAGAATATAGGCAGAAAGGCACAAAAGTGCTTGGAAATGCTACAAGGAGCCCTGCTTTGCTACCTTGCTGGCTAATTATCATTATGCTAGGACATGTGTTTTCACAGCATATGAAGAAAGTAAAATTAAAATGGATGACAATGAAAACAGAGATCTTTTTCCCATAGATCTAGTATGCCTAAGGATGTGCAAGAAACGGAATGATCTTTCTGGTATGGCAACAAAGCAGACATATTGGCAGACTGTCATGGGACTAAATGAGCTCTCCCATAGACAAAGTGAGGGTTTCTGTCATCTTAGATATTCTCCAGATAGGGAGATATGCTAGTCTGTATACTGTATTGACCAAAACGGGGGGGGGGGGGAGATCTAGTATGCCTAAGGATGTGCAAGAAACGGAATGATCTTTCTGGTATGGCAACAAAGCAGACATATTGGCAGACTGTCATGGGACTAAATGAGCTCTCCCATAGACAAAGTGAGGGTTTCTGTCATCTTAGATATTCTCCAGATAGGGAGATATGCTAGTCTGTATACTGTATTGACCAAAACGGGGGGGGGGGGGGGGAAANCCAGGCCCTTTAGCAATCATGGAATGTTGAGGAGTGTTGAAAGTCTGTTGAAAAGGGAAAAAGTCTGTGAGCCCCAATGCCTTATTATCTCCTGAAAGGAGGGATGAAATCAGGTTGAAGATTTGCACAACTCTCTCCAATTATTTTGTACACCATGGGGAGAAGAAATAAAAAAATATCCTCTTCCCCAAAGGTGTAACACTCAGCTTAAGGTTGCTATAGTAGCCTCCTGATCAAATAACCCTACCAATCAGTAACCGTATGTGATCATAGCTGTCATTTCCTAGTAATTTACATCTCCCCTCTTGATTGCTTATAGGGCCCAACTTGTTCAGGATGCTGTCCTGTCAGCTGAATCCTAGCTTCTGTGTTCCAGGATAAAAACAAAAGTGTGCCATGAAAAGGAATGAAAACCATTTCCTCTGACACAATCTAAGTACCAAGACCTCTTTAGAATTCTGACATACTCGCAAAACATACCTTCCTCACAAGCCCAGGGAGGTAGCATCCTGTGCTGCTACTAGCTAACAGATAACCGTATTTAAAATGGATGCTCAAGGTCACTCAGGTAAACTAGACATTTTCCCCATCTTGTTATCAAGGTATGTGAAAGAAGATATGTACATACTTGAATAATATCCATCAACAAGCCAGCAGCCACCAAGCTTAAACCTGCCAAGAAGAATGGCCCAAAGATCTGTGATGCAATGGAGAATGACGATTCTGGAAGGAATCCACTGGCTGATCTAGCAAATTTACAGGTGAAACCCCTTAGTTTCTTTCCATGGAAGCACAGTTCCAATTTCAGCTGGGTGACAACCATGGCTGAATGCCATTAACCCATACTCAAGAAGCAGGAGGTGAAGAGGATATCCAGAAATGGAGGTGGCTCTCACCTCTCAGCAGCACAGTCCAGGATTGAAGGCACTTTTCGGTTATGGCTGTACAGTACCAAGTCTTCAGTTGGATGCTCTATTCTTCTTCAACCAACAGGCAACAAGGTTATTTTCCCTAATGCATTTGGCTTAGAGAGCTTGATTTCCACTAAGCTTCTTGAAAGTTGCTTCTTGTACTCCAGAGAGGAAACAGAATCCAAAGGAAGATTAGGTTGTTAGGATATTTATGGATCAAAACATATAAAACCACATCTTCAGCTACTATCACCTGGCTAGAAACCAAAAAAGACTTGCTTAAACTCTGGCATTGAAAAATACCAGCATGAAGAGTGACAGGTTCTGTGGGAATACTTCAGTCACAGATGCCCTTTCTCCTCATGTTACAAATACGGTGGTTTAAAAAATAAGCCTGTCCTTCTGAAACAACCACCACTGCTCCAGGTTCACCATGTGTGACGCTGAACTTTTCTTGCCCTTTCAAGACAAGGGAGGGGGGAGGGCAGATTAACTCTTTATATTTGTTTCCCTTCTTCTCTTGCTTCCTCAAGGTGAAGAAAGGTCACCGGGAACATGAGCCAAATCCTTATGAAGCTCCGGATGTGACAGAAGAGGTCAACAGGAAGAGCTAGGAAGATGTAGCAGCTGGAAGGGTGCTTTTATTTCTCAGCTCATTTTTCTTCTCTCTGTTTCTCCAGCCCAGCTAAGGGTGTATGAGTTGAGGAAATAATGTGGTTTCTATCTCTAAGTGACTAACTTTCAGAAGAAAGGGGGGGGGAAATTCCACAGTAAAAGCCAATGAGCTTCAAAGGAACACCCTTATCTGCTGTCATCGCTTCAACTTTCAGCTACTATGCAAAGGCCATGATAAGAGTCTCTGCATGAGTTCTATTTAAGGTAGTTCCATAGTTAATGGAAAAGTTTCCAGTCACTTCGCTGTGGCTTTTTATTTCCTGTCCCCAAATTCTTCAAAATGCTGTAATGTATGGTTTCCCAAAAAGTATTTGTTTATAAAACCATGGTGCCCATGATGGGGTGCCGATCCACAGACAAAAGCATTTGTTAAGCACGTAAAATGACTGATGGAACATAAATGGTCACTGCTATTCTTTTACTCTTTTTATTGGACAGAACAATGGAATCACAAGAGAATTTCCTGGCCAAGACTGATCATACTTTGCAATTTCTGTGGAAGTTCACAAGTCAGATTTTTATCTCTGAGATATTATGTCGTCTTTGAAATAATTTTTTTTGAGCATAATCACTGTGTATATTATTTGGAAAGTCTGAGAAGGTTAGTGACATGGAATGAGTCTGCCACTGACCAGATGACAGGTCTTTTATCATTTAGTTTGCCTGTTGAAAGCCACTAAGCCACATTAAGTGCCTATTTTTGGATTAAAAGGCTATTCGGATAATTGACAAATTTTATATATGTATATAATAAAAATAAGTCAATACTGCCCCAAGTTAAACATGTTGATAGCCCACTTTTTGTCTGCCTAGCTTGTTAAGTCATCTTGCCTTCAAAGTGTGGAACGCATAATGGTCCCATAATTTTATCTTCATTACTTTGTAGAGATAAGTTAGGTTGAGAAACTGTACAAGTCCAAGGCTAGTCCCACTGGCTTCAAACCTAAGCAGGGATTTATTTCCCTAAGCAGGAAAATTGTACACAAATGGTGAAAAATCACTGAATTATGGTATTATGAGAAAGGGGGAACAGCAATCTAGGAGAGCCCATCTCAGGCCAAAAGGGCCAGATTCAGTCTTTCCCTGCTCCATCTATACAATATGCATTCCATCTCACTAACCCTCAGTGCACCGACCTGTTGATAACAGTTTGTTTACAAAATACAGAACAGTTCTGGAAACAAATTAACAGTCTTCCTCATGTAGACTATTTGGCCTCATTAATGTTTTCAGAAAAAATACACATCTTAGAATTAAATCACAGAATTCAGTCTTTTTAGCTGCTGCTCTCCTTACAGCGAAGAGATTTAAAATAGGTCCAGGCTTACACTTATAACTCTTGTACCCAATATTCACCAAGATGGAAACTCACTAGGCAACCTTTTAGACCACCGGCAGCTTGTAGACTGGGACAGGGAGACACCTCATCCCAAAATGTCAGGACTCACACTAGTCACCCTTACTTTAGACATCACCTTGCTGACCAGGAAGTAGAACCTCCAAGTCACCCTTACTTTAGACGTCACCTTGCTGACCAGGAAGTAGAACCTCCCCTAACTTTCTATTCCTACAGAACAATATTGCATCAACCAGCATATCTTCCATTTCCTCTTAAACATGACGCCACAGAGGCCTATAGGAGGTCTTGTTCACACACTGGAAACTGATACACACACACACACACACACACCTGGAGGTCTTGTTCACACACTGGAAACTAATACACACACACACCATCCAGCACTCCTCAGTTCCCTAGCTGATGGATGGGATCACGGGGTTCTTCCCTTCAGATCTGGAGTCTGAGGGAAAATGGCAGTTGGAACTGAGTGTTCTTTGTGGGCAGAGGTTGGAGGGGTATGCAGTGAGAGTTTCCCTTCAGCTATGAGGCAATATGATTATTATTATTAAAATAAATAGTATGAAAACTATCAAGTAATGACAGAATCCTCTCTCAAATGGCACAGTTGTTACTTCAATTGCCAAACCTTTATGTTCATCTATTAATAGTAACAACTCCTTCTTTCCAATCTTCATTATGAATCTTGTTTCCCCGCTAGGAAACCTGAAAAAACAGTGCTTTACTGTACCCCAGTCCTGAAGACTTCAGCGGCACTCTAGAGGGGAGAAAGGGCTCTAGTAAGGCATTCAACTACTAGCTAGCTAGCTCGGGGCCATTATTTTCCTCTCTCAAAGATTCTGTGACACAGCAGCTGTTAAAGGTGTTTGCCATGAAGAGATACAGTAGCAAGTACTGTATCACCTTTACTAACAGTCTTGGGAGAATGGGTTCATTGCACTCCATCAATAAATAAGAACCATAAAAAAAAGTGCAACCAATGAATCAACATTAATTGGCATTTGAGTCAGGAGAGGCGAGTGTACAAATCCTTTTTTTTAAAATGACCTAGTTAAGGTGCCTCCAGTAAAGATGGACACATCTCCAGCATGGGACTAATAAAAAAAATACAGAGCCCTGAATAGTCAAGGGACTTTTCTTTCACTACAAGATGCAAAAAGGCCATAACTGAAAATATAAAAAATACACTTTACACAGGACATATAAAAATAATTTCTATCAAATATGAAATACTGTAATAACCCAACCCAGTGTCAGTCTGCCTGTGTAAATAGATTGCCCATCTATTTATTGTATATATATCAAATTACCACCTTATGTATAACAATGGCCATAGGCAATTCAAACATTATTGCACCGATATTATAAATATATCAAAGCAAAAGCTAAACTGTTTTTCCAGATGACATTAAAGAACAAAATCTGTTATTACCATTTGTAATCCCTACCAGGCAAAGGAGGGGGATTTAATATTGGGGTTGAGATATGAGTTACTGAACTCTGCTTCCCAACACTCTCCAGCCAGTGGTGTACAGTTTCAGAGTATCATTGGTAGCTAAGCCAAAAATTGTGATCACTTCTTGCTCCTACAGATGTACTTACTCCTATAGGAAAGGCACAAGAATTTGCTGACTTGAGATATCTGAACATCTCCTTTTGACAGTGGCAACAGCACAAAGAATAAATCCAGATCCCCTCATTGGCCTTTCCTGTGGGAAATATGTTGATTTGCTGCTGGGTGAAGGCATTCACGATGCCACAAACTGGCAGCTGGGTGAAGGCATTCACGATGCCACAAACTGGCAGCAGGTAAAACCCTCACCATGTTTTTTG